AATTCACTACCAGCAACCACCGTCAATGTTTTACTGCCCTAGAAAATAATGACGGACAGAAAAAAAACACGCATCATTGTAATATCAATACATTCATCACTCCGCTTAGACTCTTAAATAAAAACAAAATGTCGAACATGTTTTATGATGACTGTGCTCACTAAGGACATACCGTTTAAGAGACTACCGTCATAAAGAATCTAATATAAACTATTAAAAAAAATATATTAAAAAACATCGACGTCAAAGCGTTAAATTATATGGTAACAACTTTTAAATGATTCACTCTTTGTATTTCACATGCACAGAAAAACATATTGAATAAACCAGATTTGTTATTAACATTTATGTTGTACGTAGGTACATATACCACTGTGTTTTAATATTTCTTAGATATCTTACCAATTTTTTTTAATAAACTCTTTATCATTATTATCGAATACCTAAGATGTTTGCACAAAAATGAATTAACCAAATAAAAAAATTTTATGAACAAGCCCAGATGACAGGTCCCGCCGTCCCGGGGCCGATATTTGGTTTACCACTTCTAAATTCTCCCCTCCCATCAATCGAAAGAAAAATACAGTCTGGTGTCCTTATCCCTTTTTGGACATTATAATAATATTGGCCACCTAGGCGAATACTTATAAAGTTATAACGTTAATTTACTCACTGTTACGAAATAATATTATCATTGATTAATTATACATAATAATTTGTAAATGCAATCAATGATATCTATTGTTCTCATTAAATTTATAAATAAAAATACTAAAATATTATAATTTATTAGGTTGAATACATTGTGATTGCTTTAATAATTATATACAATTTTACTAAAGTATACTACAAAGAACTAGCTAGCACTTTACAAATTATTTTATATGATTCCATTTTTTATAGCACATTTTTTTTCACATTATTATTATTTTCTATAAGATAGTATAATTTAAAAGTTAACATTTCCGTAATAAAAATATAAGTATTACCAACATTAAATACCTACGTTTGTTTTTATTCATAAACTACTGAACTACGAAATAGTTTTATTTTTGTTTCAAGCATTATACAGCTATATCATCTATCGGTAGGTACCTATATATTATATTATTTATATTTAATATATTTAAATAGGTACATAAAATTATGGGCCGTACGCATTTTCATTTGTACCATTGTACCTAGTATAAAATGAACCTTTTTGGATTATTCAAGTTCAAATCTTTTATTCATGACTCGTGCTCTTATATTATCTGTTATTCTGTTACCTACCTAGAGTATCTTAGTGATTAGTACGATTGATATGGACAATTATGAATACCTAACTTTAAGACCTATAATATCTTCAACGAAATAAAAGTTACAACTTACAAGGCAATAAACATCAAACAAATATATAATTAAAGTAATAAAAAATTTATATATTATTATAACCTATTTACGCGGAACCTTGTTTTAAATTTTCAATCCTTAATTATAAAAATTGAATATTTTATAAATTTTTAACTACAAAATAATTTTAGATTCTGAGTTGAACGATGAATATATTGATTTTACAATGATATGTGTTATTTTATTTTTATTTTTTTGTGTTTGTGTACCTACACGATAAGTAGTCGAAATAATGCTTAGATTTTCAACTTCAGTATCTTGTTTGATGGGAAAGTGAATATTGTTGGGGAGGTCAAAATTTAAAATTCCCTATAGTTTTCAAAAGCGACGGGAAAAATAACATAAAAATTAACAAAAACCATAAGTTTGTCTACCTTTATCAAAAAAAAAAAAAAAAAATGTCTACAAGCAAAACAAATTACATTTTTATGAGCGTTAGAAATTTATATTTTTATAATATTGGATATTCACTAGATTTCTCTTGTTGCGGTTTTGTTACCTGTATTGTTATTCAAAAACGAATAACTGTAGATACATAAACATTTTACTGAATGTTTATATTTTCATTTTCTATACAACCATAAAATTTTTAAAAATAATTTGACTCTTTTTGAGGTGTTTACGGACATTGTCAGTTTTCAATTTTTTTAGTTTTTAGATTCTGAGTGAAACGATGAATGTATTGATTACACGTTACAGTTGTCATGACAACCAAACAATAACAAAGATGAAATTGTCTTAGGTTGCCCCTAGCAACCGATGATTAGGTAGGTAATATAATTAGATTACCATAGCAACGTCATTATTCGTTTTTAGATTCTGAGCGTAGTGAGAATGAATTTATTAAATTTACAAGTCATATACATGTAGGTACCGATAAATCTACATGCAGTGTGAATATACCTACTCCTTTTTTCATCCTATCTATGGTTTTCACTAGTAGTGTTCAATTGAACAGGGATAACCCTTTTGACTCGCTATCCACTGTTTTTGTAAGTTGTAACAATATTTTCACTACTCGTGTCACCTTTGTAGGCCATGAAAGAAAAAAAGACTTTAGCTGCTAGTTTTGCGTAATTTCCCGTACATAAGTGTGCCCAAAACATTTCCAAAAAAGTTCAATAAACATTCGTTTAAGTTTGGGATCAGGTGAAATGTAGTAGTTATTTACAAATTAGGAAGTGGTTAAGGGGTTTATATTAGCATGTTCTATAGGTACGCCATAACATTTTGTCTTATTTTGAGCTGTTTACGGACATTTTCAGTTTTCTTTTTTTCTATAATTATTAATAAAATTTTATTTGTTGGTTAAAAAAGTTTGAAAATTTAATAGGAGGCTCCTAGTATATTGTTTCAAAAGCAAATGAAAAAAATTAAAAATCCAGTCACAATTTTTTTAAAGCATTTAATGTTCAAATATTGACAAAATACGTAAAAATGACGAAAACTTGGAAATTATTTCGAGTTAGAAATTCATAAAAAATTTTCTTTTTAAATCTAAGATTTGAAAATGTAATACAAGATTCCTCATAAGTTTGTCTAGCTTTATCAAAAAAAAAAAAAATGTCTACATGCAAGAAACTCAAATTAAATTTTTATGAGCGTTTGAAATTCATATTTTTACAACATTTGATATTCACTCGATTTCTCAAGTAACGATTTTCTTATTTTGTTGTAATTAAAAAACGTCTGACTGTAGATACATAAAAATTTCACTGAATGTTTATATTAGCATTTCCTATACACCATACAATTTTGAAAATATTTTGACTCTTTTTGAGCTGTTTACGGACATTTTTAGTTTTTTTTCTATAAATATCAATTTTATTTGTTGGGTGAAAAATTTTGAAAATTTAATGCAAATCTCCTAATATATTGTTACAATAGCAGTTGAAAAATATTAAAAATTAATAGGCACAATTTATTTGTATAAGCATTGAAAGTTCAAATTTTGACAAAATTTATCAGATTAAACTATTTTGTAGTTAAAAATGTATAAAATGTTCAACTTTTATAGCTAAGGATTGAACATTTAAAACAACATTCCACCCAAATAGGTTATAATGTATAAATAACTTTACTCACCTTAATATCATCAAATATACTTCGTAATATCAAAGGCTGACTGACCGTTTTCGCTCAGAATCGTTTTTCTTATACAAATGATATTAAATCATAGAATTCAAATTTAACACCATCCATTAGTGACCCACTTGTAACCTACTGTAAAAGCAGAGCGACATAAGCTTACCCACCTTTTTTTTTGACGCATTCTAGAACTACTTAAAAAATAAATAAAAACACATCATTATAAAGCTAATACATTCTTTTGCTATGCTCAGAATCTAAAATTAAAACATAAAATAGATAATATTACAATTAAAAGCCAATTTAAAAGAACAATATATCACATTATTACCTACTTTAAATTATATTTAACAAAAAGAAGCAATATTAATTTTAAATACTTGAAAATGTCTTTAAACTTTAAAGCGCTCTTTTTCATTTATCATACGGACTGAAGACCACCAATCGTGGAGCTGACACTAAAATAGGTATGTCATAATATGCAAACGTGCAGGTTCATGAATATAATTACTTAACATAAGATATGTTAAGTGAACGTCAGTATTGTTAAGTTAGTAGATAATACATTTAACTAGTTACATTCTGAAGTTAATTAGAAAATTGAGTAAATTTAAAAAAAAAAAATAATATTTTAACTAGTTAATGAACATTTCTGAAGATATGACTCAGTTACTTATCTAATTTTTTGGTAGATTCCATTTCATTGCACATTTTATTTAATTTTATATTTTTTTTTGACTTACAATGCATTAGTTTGTTTATGTTTATGTCATATAATTTTTATAATCTTCAGTCAATAAACAAATATTATATTAAATATTATTACTTATATGTACCTAAAAAAATTATTTTTTCAAATAATATGACCTACCTTGTCATGCAGATATGAAAGTTTTAAGCATCACTGTAATTGAAAGTATCTGGCACACTATTTATTTTGTAATTTCCCCCTGACCAAGCACAACATTGCAAATGTTGCCTGTCAACACAGAAAACGTTCTGAACATTAAGTTTTGTAATAGGTGCATTCACTCTAATACTAAAGCTAACAGTGTTAATATTTCTTTGATGTGATTAGTAAAAACCCAATAATATGCATGTTATAGCAACATTTTTAGAATTATGTCTTAGAAGTAGGTTCTTAAAATTTGGTGTTGTATACTCCAGCCCACAACAGTCCATACGTGAAAACGCGTATTTCGCTTAGTTGCCAAATAGTGGGAATGGCATCATGGTAGGAGAAAACCGACGTCGTATATTACTATATCGATGCGCGGTTTACGCATGGACTCTCGTGGGCCGGAGTATAGTTGTAAGAAATCTAAACATATATTAAGTCAATAAATATATTATAATGAAATGTTAATAATCTAAAAAAAAAAAAAAATCCTCTTAATATAAAGTAAACATAATATTAATGAATCTGATGTAAATAAAAAAATTAACACTATTTAACTCATTTAAATCATACCAAATGTTGATATAACTAAGATTGATGTAATGTATTATTTATAAACATTTTATAATAAATTCATGATTTTTACATCGGTACTTATGCAATGGGCATTACTTATCATTTCAAGACAATCCTCATATAATGAAAATGGTCGCTTTACATTAGTATACAAAAGCTTAATAAATGAATATAAATAATTTAAATGATGACAATGATCTTTTGGTTCCACCAAGTTTGTAAATTCCGCAAACTTTTTGCATTCGGATGATACAGTATCTGCCATACTAGAGTTCAGAATATTTCTATAAACAATAAACATATAATAACCACACAATTTATACATATATCACAATTAAACAATTTAAGTATGTAACATACAATGTAGAAAGACGATTTGGTATATAATTATATGTTGGCCAATTCTTTATGCATGGCTCGCAATAGCACTCAAAATTTAAACGAATGTTGCAAAATCTTTGCCTTTCATTTTTATTGAGTGCTATAAACATTATTCCATAAGTACAGCATAACTAGATGGTAACAAATAAAGAAAATACATTAAGTATTAATTTAATAATATATATATTGTCAAACTAAATAAAAATATAAGAAAATATCATGCAAGGAGTCACAAAAACTAATTTTTTAACATAGATATTTCTGATTTATTTTAAACATCAGGTGACATTACAGTGGTGATTCACGTCTGCAGACATTTTCACTATCTGAAGTTTATACAAAAATAATATTATTTTATGGTAATATTGTACTATAATCTATATAATATTTTATAAGCAAGCATTTATGACATACAAAAATAAAAATATTTATGTGATATTGTCTCATTCATTCCTTCAGTCATCATCAAGCCAATATAGACTAATGCCACTATTTCTAAAATGTAGAATGGTGTAAATATAAAACAGTGTACTCTCGATTATCCACGTAATAGGGTGGAATAACGGATAATCCGCTAAATTAAATTCAAATTGAATAAATTATATTATTAAAAATTATAATTATGTAAATCTTGTAATGTCATACAATATACAGTATTTAATGAAAATTAAATGAGAACTATTTTTATTTTCTGGGTTAACCAATAACTCGATAATGTGGGTTGTACTTTAATTATTGCATTTGATCATGTACATGGTTGAATGGTTCGTTCGGATTGAAACCCTGACCTACATAAACCTTTTTTATAAATTTAATTTCATATTTCAGTGCAAGAATTCATTATGCATCTCTGAGAGGGTGGTAATGAATATTGTGCTGCAATCCTGACGCTACTGTAGCTCTTATTCATTATTATTATTATTGCAGGAGGTTTAAGGAATTTTTAATTTACAAATTATATTTTCTATTACAAATACCTATTATATTTATTATAGCCACAGTCACAAAGTGGTGTGTGACCAACAAAGCAATAAAAAATAATATAAATAATAAGAATAAAATAATCTATATAATCACCTGAGTTCCTTTGGGAATTGGTTGAATTGCTTTCATAACTCTTATTCTATTAAACATATTTCCACTTGGACTAATATTTGCATCACAAGAATGGTTGAACAAGGAAATGGTTGGATACAAAGTTAATGCCATTGAACGAGAAAGTAGGATATCGCTTCTTCGATAAGATAGAGGATCTAAGTTTAACTTTCTGTAACTTGAATCTAAAACAGTTAGAATTTGCACCAAGGAAGCACCTACAGTACCTATATAACATTCTGGAAGTCTGAAGCCGCTATGCATCAAATAATGCAACATATGAGCAGCAATACAGTTAAAAAAAAACAAGACGTCTATTGATCTTTTGTTTACACTAATATCTAAAGAATAAGAAGTTAAAAAATTATCAGACTTATATTGACCAATTTCATCAAAACCCCTTGTCATAGGATCAATTTTAGATTCAGAAAAGTTATAGTTATTAACTATCGAACAATATTTTTTTAAACCCATTTTTAAATAGTCTTTTAAAAACCACTTCATAGCAAGTTCATTTATTTTTGAAATTCCTGGTATTGTTCTGATAAAAAATATAATGGGACATTCCAAATGATGTCCATCTTTGTCATCTTTATTCATACAGTCTTTATTGCAGTAAGACACCTGATAAAATTATATTAACATATTAATATATTTTTTTTCATTCCCATAATATTAAATTTTAGATAAATCATAATAGGTATACATAATAAAGATGTAATTTTTAATTTAAGATATATATGTTGTCAGTTAAATCAAAAAAATCACCAAGTAAGTAATTTGTAAAGAATTATTACATAGGTACCTATTATAGTCAGATTGTTAAAATCTGTTTAGGTTTAGACTAATTTTGTTCTAAAAATATCTCGAAGAATATTAAATAGGTAACCAAATAGAAATATGTATAATATTGCATTTATATGATGCATACCCATTACCTTATATTTTTACAAGTATTAAGTAGATACAACAAAAAAAACATACCATTTTACATTTTGGACACTGAATAAGAGCCGAATTTATCTTCATACAACCATTATATTTACAAACTCCTACACTTTCTGTAAAAGGCCCACAAATGTAAGGTTCATCTATGGCCACAACATCACCTAAAAATGAATAGGTAAATAACATAATAACATGACACAAATTTAATATGGGTGGGAGAGGGGTATCATAATAATAAATTACATATTATATAGGTAATAAACACATTTATGTCCTTTTCATGTTTTAAGTGGTCGTTTGACATTCCCTTCCCCATGTGCCATTACAGACAACTGTTTTTTGTGCAATTACCCTGGGACACTAATTTTTATTTATTTATTTTGTAATATTTGTCAAGTTCCAAAAATTATATTAGTAAAAAAAAGTCTGACAAAAAATAACATTGCTGAATTAGGTATGCAAGTCGAAATATCCAAAAATACTTCAAAGTTAATGAGCTAACTGCTCAGTAATATAATATTATTACATCAGACAGAACTTTGTATAGTATGAGAGCGAACTAGTTCCGATGAAAGATTTCTTCGGACGATGGTTTGCATTATATCACTTACCTCATCAGTCAGTTCAAGTCACTAATGTAAATGATTGGTTTTGTGATAATAATTTTTTTTCCCGAACATTTTTATAATTACTTAACATGTTATAAAACGTAATAAAAAAATATGTATATAAGCTATTGGTACTTTAATTGTGTAACCATTGTTTATTGTTAACTACCTAATCATAATAATAATACAATTTATAACTTTTTTATAACTTTCCCGACACCCACTTTTTTATTACCAAAAAGAGCTTGGGTGCCTAATGTACCTACCTACCCATATGTCATTTTAATTTACCTGGGTTAATGTCGCGGGTAGCATAAACACCTCGTCCCATATTCTCGGACATTTTCAGTTCCACAAAGGCCGATAGTGCAGGGATATTTTCGTTTCTTCCGCCAACCAGCTGCTCGAGACAAGGCGTGTCCATCGGCCTTTTCCGCTCAGTCGACTGTTTCTCGCACACAGTTACCAACTTTTCGACCTCCGCCCTGAACTTGAGCTTGCTCTCAGCAGACATGTCCGCCTCGTCCAGTCGCTCCAGGCACAAGGCGTAGCTGTCCTTCGCTTGTTCGACGAAGCCTAAAATGCGTTCTGCGTGCCCCATTCGCATGTACAGCTTGTACGCGAGATTGGAAGGGTAATTTTTGGACTCCAAGGCACTGAACGCATCGTTCAGGCAATGTCCGTACTCGCCCGTGTGGAAGTATGCGGCCGACCGGTTGGCCTGCGCGAGCGCGTAGCACTCGGTGTTCTTTTGGCAGTCTTTCAAACACTTGGTGTACATTTCTATGGCCTTCACGTACAACTTGTCCTTGAAGAACACGTTGCCGTTTTGTCGGTAGCTCGTCGATGTGTCGGGATGATCGTACTCATCGTCTTCGTAAAACGAATCAAACGGCGTTATCAGAATATTGCGTTTGAGAAGCAGGTCGCGCGTGAACATGAAGCGGCCGTTGGCCGACTTCAACTTGGGCAGTTCCGCGCGGACGTTGGCCATATTCACCCGATAGGAGTAGATATCAAAACCGTCGTATTCCAACGTCATGTCACACATGTTGGGCGAATAATTCGTCATTTCGTCCTGTTCAGTGCCAGGATCTTGATTGGCTTCTAGAGCAAAAAGGCGAAACACTACACTGATGAAGTCAACCGTCAAAATGCCAACAGTGAATTCTGGAATTTGGAATACATTTTACAAAATACAAATAATAACAAAGCACAATTCACAAAACCGAAAATAACCTAACCTAGTAACATTTAACGGACATTAAGGGAATACGGTGTTGCCAACGTAAATCACGCGCTACATGACGAATGACGATCGAACAATAATATTCGGGATGGGGCACGGACTAAGATATACAGGACTGGTAACGATATGAACCCGGCTTTATCTAAATTTAACCACACGGTCGAAAGTTAAATATAATATTAAGGCGGGTTTCCACTCTACACGGATGCGTGTACGTGCATACAAATCATTTGCTGTGATTGGTTGTTTACGATCAGTTACCACACGGTTAACAATGATACCGTGTTGTTGGACATAGCTGAACATTTTTCGTGTACACGGCAAACGTGTATAGTGGAAACCCGCCTTTATTCAACTATGCGGTATCGTTTGGTAACTGTGGTAACCGTGATTATTTTACACGACACGGTGTAGTGTGAACCCCCCTCCGGGCTGGAGGGTGGTAGAGGGCTGGATACCAAATGTTTTCAATAGGTACATGTGGGACACCTAGCGCAATCTAGTAGGCTTATAGCTCATCTACCATTACTTCTCTATAAATACATTGGCACAGAAAAAAAAATTACATTGGTCTCATTGCATATTTTATATTCATTCCATTAGTAAATAGTAGAGTATTTAGACTTTAGAAATTTACTTACTACTTACTAGAGCGTCTAGATCTACTGCTTGATTTATTTAAATAGTTACGACTATTTTCTACATTTGTGTTGAAATTATAAAATTAAAATGCCTCGCAGTGTTCAGTATTTTATGTACCTACCACTAAGACTAAGAACGGTCCCATGTTCAGTTGTTTAAAGTTCGAGAATCGTGGGAGGAACTATTATTAATGAAGTAAATGGTAATCATAAACGTAAAGTGACATACGTCTGTATAGAACATTTTAGGAAAGAATATTTGATTAACAGTTATAGTGGGTGTAATGACTTGGAAGTAAGAAACATAATTATTTGTATTAGCCATTTTAGGTAGGTACTATATAAGTACCCTACTTGGTCATTATAAATTATAATTATACTCATATTCTATACACAGTTTAAAAGGAATTTAATTGGGCTAAAAATGGTGCTTTTCCATCAGTATTTAATTCACCATTTGATATTCACAAAACAAATGATTTGCCCGCAGAACCTCGAGAATCTTGTACACATGTTACTGAGTCATTTAGGAAAGAATTGTTTGGTGAACCCAAGCCTAAGAGATTATGTCAAACACCAACATTAATAGTATGTTTGTGATTAATTGTCATAATAGACCATGTAGATTATTTAATTTATATATAGGTACCTACCTAACTTCATAGTTCATATGATTTATTAAAGGAATCAAAACTGTGGTATGAAAGTTTATTATTGCCAGTTGGTTGGTCATTATATCATGATGGATGTATTGTTGCATTGTATAAGCTGATTAAATTCATAGAATTTAATGAAGCTAAAATTGTTATTGAAAAACAAATTGTTTTTGAATCAAATAGTTTAAAAGTGAGCTATTATGTTAATCAAAAGCGTTTCAAAAAAAATTTGGGTCTACAACAATTAACATACCCACTTGATACATTGCAAATTACTGAAACCCTTCAATTGTTTGAGCAAAAAGAAATATGCCAAGGAGGTCCCAGTGTCATACATTTTTCAGGTATGAGTTTTAAATGTTAAATAAAACAGCTGTATAGGTACCTACCTAAATCAATTTTTATTTAGGAATTCGGGTTAAGAATACTTATTTAGAGAATACAACCTGGCGCCATAATGAATGTTCTATTCTAACAAGTTCAAAAAAAAGATGTAAAAGGTTGCAATTCATTGGTCCTTATTTTAGAGAGTATAAAAAAAGATTATCTATAAGAACTAAAACATATGTTGGAACAACTCTCACTCCTACAAGACACAAAATAATTAAAGGGATGATAAAAAAATCGAAAAATGTTAAGAAATCCAACAAAAGGTACAATTAATTTAAACTAATTACCTATTCATTTATTTAAAATACTTTTTATATTTATTTTTCAAAGGTTTAAATTAAAAATTAACCAATTAAATTTTGTACATTGAGTGAACTACAAGATAAATCAAATCAAAATTAAATGATTTAGTTGAACATACAAACTTAAATAGTTCACAAAAAACAATAGTCCAAGAAATCGTAAATGCTAGTTAAGTCACCAATTTAAAAAATAGACGTTATTCAGAGAATTGGATTTTATTATGCATGTTGTTGAAAATAAGGTAAAAATATTCACTTAGACAAAGAGTGGTCAAAAATATTAATTATTAATTTTTTTCAGATCACCTTCCACTTATGGATTTTTAAGGGAACAAGTATATCTTAGTCCGTGGTTTTGGGGTTTTGGGGTAGAAAAAAAACTGTAATGGAATGTAATACCCAATGGTTTTGAACTCTTCGCCATTCTCTCAAGCCGACTGAACTCCGAAAGTTGAAATACAACAGTTTTCAGTGTGCATAAATCATTGTTTGATCATCAGTTTGCAGTATAATTAAATATATTTTTTTTTTACATTTTTTTTTCCAACGTAAAAGGTTTCATCAGTTATTTTATTATTAACTTTGAATTGTTGTATTGCTATTGAAGTGTAATATTTGATATTAGGAATGCGTAAATAAAATTGTTTACAACAATATTATACAAATTAAAATTTACAGCGTAATATGTGTAACGGCATAGGTATTTCAGTATAATATGTAACATTATTTAATCTCGTTTTTAATGAAAATATTCTCTTTTCCTTTTGATAACGTAAAATATCTTAATCAGATTATTGTGAAAAAATAATTAATTTCACCATAAACGATTTTATTATTTAAAATGTATAGATACGTATATTATAATATAATTAATTGCTTTAAAACATGTTTAATTGATACATAGTTGTTAAAATCGACTTTTATAATAATGATCTGAAATCACATATTTGTAATGAATGTCTTTTTTTAGAATTTAGTATAGCAGGTATATGTAATCTCGTATTGAATAAATAAAATATAAATGCTAACAAGTAAATTGTAATATATGTATTTATACATAGTATTTTTTTATCGGGGTATATTATGGGTTATAGTGTAAACATCATATTATTTAAATATTATCGAGACAAAAATTTTAAAATACCTAGGTACCTACTCGAAGTGATATCGTGATGATTATTTTAATTTAATTTAATTTTTTTATCATATTTAATTTATATGATTGAGTGTATAGGTAGTCGTATGGATTTAATATTTAAAGTTCATAATACTTACTTAATATGGTTTACACGTTTTTATTTTTTTCTATAAAATATAACATAATATCAAAGTTTAAACACTGTTTTTGGCATATTGTATGTTTAACTAAGAGTTATTTTAAAATTCAAGGACGTTTTATAATCAATATTGATATGAGCAATAACTAATATTGATTTATATTCTATATTCGGATCTAACTTTAAAATATATATTTGCTACCTTTGTAGTATGTATAATGATGTACCTATTTCAGTGAAAAATCTAATGTTATGCCTATGTTAATATATTAGTGTACACTGTACCTTCAACTGTCAAAACTTACATACCGTCAAAAAGTGATTTCCTATAGCACAAAAGATAGGTATCAAGTTTGGTTCGGATTAGGATATTACAACTCAAGTCAATAATTATGTAGAAAATATAAATTAAATATATATATATATGTATATTAACACATACGTGGGGATTTAATGGTTCCAACCTAAACCGAAATGTTTTAAATGTTATTTTTCGACATGCAGTATTATATTATTATTTTACCTATGTAGAATACAATTTTGAATTTTTTAAATATTATTTTGTAATAATAAATTTGTATCAACTATTTGAGTCAATTTGACTATATTAACGTTCAAGCGTTCTACACAATACATATTATTATTTACAATTCTTGTATGGTATTTATATAACCGTCCTATGTCATATCCGCCAGTGTAATACGTTATTTTATGATTTATTACGCAGTAATTCGTCGCCTTTAGTACTTGATGGCTTGAATATTTCTTGAAACATATTATAATATCCAGTGTAGCAGTTTATACTGCAGGTCTACGGCCATTATACTCTGTATAAATCGACCAACGAGTTTTTTTATTTAAAATATATATTTTAACGTTTTTTAGTCGTTAAATCTGTAACAATTGATTATACACTCTACAAAACGAAAAAAATGAAACAATATTTTTTTGTTCACATCAAAAATGTTTATTATAACAAAAGGGCCGCAAATAAGAAAAAAAAAGTCGAAATTTATATGTGTGAACAATTTAACAATTTTGAATTTTGAATAACTTAAATTTAAAAAAAAAATACGACGGACAGGATAGACACAATAAACAAGGGGGGAGGATGCGAGATGGCGATTGGTGCAGAAATGCAGTGTTGCTGGCCACTGGTCACCTCTACACGTTCTCCGACCTGTCCCGCGGGTTGACGAGTGTTGCTGGTGCGTTTGCTCGGACGCTTGACGACCTTGCCCAGCCGGCGAGGTCAGACCGAGACAGCCACGGGAGCGACCACGGTTGACGGCGACGGACGGCGACTAGTGCGCGATGTCGTGCGCGTCGACGGTCGACGGCGAGACGACTCGTGACGACGGACGGCGAAGACCAAGACGTGGAGCAAGCGAAATGAGATTCTGTGCTGCGGATCCGGTGGGGACGATTGAAGCGGCCGATTTGGGATTACCGCTGGGCGAAAAGGCGAGAGCCAGGGGACCACAGCGCGATCCTTGACTTTCGGTAATTTTCGCCCTGGCGTTGTCCCTTCGGCCGCCGCACGCCTCCAGACCCTGA